CTTATATTTCACGGACTTCAATAGCTAGTATCAAATTGAGTGTTTTACATTTTCAGGAGACAATATTGAGCTTAATAGAATAAAGCTACTTTCTAATTTTTTGATAGACGTTTTAGCGGTAAATAAATCCCCAAAATAAATAGCTTTGTAAGTCTTCGACATTGGATGCTGACCACATTAGTTTTAATGGAATCACCTAAGTGAAGGCGCTCGGTGATGCATCCGCACAAGATAACAATTGGAAACGCCGTTCTCAACGTCCCCTGCAATCGCTAGCCAATGTAGATCAGTCGATCCTCTATATATTGATAGCCTATCAAATATATCTTCGAACCTCCTCACTTCTGTCCTTTGATTTCACTTGGTGGGTGCGATTCATATTAGGTGTTACTGGTTAAAGCGGTGTCAAACTCTAGATACATGTGGAATCTTCAACGCCCATAAGTTTTCTTCTAGAAAAATGATTCATTCGTGATCATACTTTTACTTTAATATGGAACGCGACTGAATCTAAAAATAACATAGTCATTTACTGTTCATTTGAGTTTCGCGATTATCATTTAAAATAGACTACTATTTCTCATTTACTGCACATCTATTAGAGAAGTATTTTTATTCTACCTGTTTAACTCATTGTTAGTATTCATTGAATATTGAGTGTTTACGATTTATTGATTCTCTACAAATTACTTATTAACATAATATGTTAATTGAAACGTTCAAGGTGATGAAAGGTTTTAGTACGAGCGTTTTTTCAATTACCGTAAAAGGATTTGAAAGATGATTGAATCGAGCATCAAATATATTTCTTAAAAATTAACTTAAAGGTCACTTTTAAAAAAAGTCATTTATCAATATGAAATAATAATTAACTCAAAAGCTGATTACTATGAATATTCACTTTGTTTCTTTGCAAACAGACTTTTAGTAGAACGACCTACAAAATATGGTAAGTGTTGTAGCCATTTCGCTGGTGACTGAACCAAAATCTTCAAAAATTTGTAGATTTATTATCTATGAGTAGCAGTTTGAGAGTTTAGTAACTGAGTTATGAAAATTTTCTGCGTTCATTACACCTAACAATAAATGTGAAGATAGTTCACGTCACGAAGTAAGATCAGTTGGCGAACCGCTAAACGTCAGAGATAACTGGACGGTTGTTCCCCACCAATATGAGATTGTTACTTGGTGTTTATTTACGACCTAACGTGTAAGTGAACCATCATCGCTCAAGATGAGCATGACTAAATGTAATCGTTACTGCGTTCACTTAAAATCCTAACAAATTTCTGATGAAATGTGTAGATATCTTGAAATAAGTAAAAATGTTTATATGCTCAAAAAGAATGTGTCACACACTGACATTTTTATCCAAGAATATGGTTAAAATTTTTATATGTCAACTAGGTACTCAGCAGAAGTAAAATATTACAGATCTATGAAGACGTACCATCCGGCTAATATCTTTTTTTCTTTCTGCATGGTGAATCACCTATAGTTAAGTTTATTTTTTAAACTAGTAATTGCTACTACTCAAGCAAAGCAATATGTTGTTATCATAACATAGCCTAAGAATTACAATAACGTATACAGAAATATTTTTCTAACTTAAAATCAAGAATTGTGTAGTAACAATCTGGTAACGAATGATCAATAGACCATCAATTATTATCTAAACATCTCTCAATAGATAATACGCGTAAAATTATTCCCGAAAAATTGTTACTGTAGTCGAGGTCGATACAGGAGGACCAAATGATACTCATGACAAACTGTTTACCCTGCTAACCAAACGAATGATTAATAAAGAATACAATAAACAAGCCGACATGAAATAGTCTATTTCATTGAACGGTCTGAGAGTGGAAGGAATGGCTTATGTAAGATATACATTGGCAATAATAATGTAGATGTTAAATAAACGAGCTAAAAAGAACGAGGTAATCATCAAACAATGAATAAATTTTGAGGCAATATTTTAGTTTACAACTAAGTATGAATAATTTTTATCATGGCAAATAAAGTTTTTGGTTTCTTTTATTTTTATATCTTGTGACCTGTTAATTATATCGCAATACGATCGCCAATTTGGGACGACATAGACTGGGAGAGGGAAAAAATAATAGGGAGAGATTTGCAAATCCATATGCATTCAACAAATTGGTTGTAGGCGATAGAATATTCCCACACAAACACATACACAAGGCTACAGAGATCTCACCGGATTACACCACAGAGAACCAGATAGATCATATTTGCAACAATAAAAAATTCAGTAGGACAGTGGAATTCCGTAGTGGTAGAGGTAGCAAGAGTATAAGCAGTAATTGGAAAGATTACGGTTTGGAGATGTTATTCGAGGAGTATAATTCAGTGAAATAAATGTGGAACGAAAGAAAAAGAGACATGAAGAATTCTGAAGATTACAATTTGGGAGAGCACAAAGAGTGGATGCACCTGCGCCATTGCAAACGACTTTGAGCCATGTCATTCAAGGCCTCAAACCATCGGTTGCTATCGTCTTGCGGATCCCAACCAGGTAGTCCACATCTACCAACATGGTTCAATCCAATTGTCAGTGACTTCATGGATTTGTGTCATGTTTTGGTCTGGCCGCCCCTAGCTTTCTTCCAACCTACACCTATACCACTGAACATCGCACGTCGAGGCAGTCGTTGGTTGGGCAAACGTAACACGTGTCCCAGCCATCTCGACTGATGAAGTTTCACTACTTCATCAATGGATTTGCCATCCTTACCTAGTACCCGTTTTCTAACAACTGCGTTACTTACTCGATCGTCCCATGATATACGAGCAATGCTTCGAAGATACCTATGATCAAATACCAGTAACCTACGAATATTCTCTACTCTTACCGGCCATGTTTCACTGCCATAAAGTAGGACGGAATGAACTGCTGCGCAGCAAACACGTCCATTGGTTGGTAGATGGATATCTCGCCTACTCCATAAATGAAGTAATTTAGAGTAAGCTAGTCGAGCCTTCTGTATCCGTGCTGAGACTTCGTCACACACCAGACCACACGGGCTGATGAGACTCCCAAAATAAGTGAAGCGGTCGACATGCTCAACTACTTCACTCCCTATCATTAATTCGGGTGTCGATGCAACCCAATCCTGAAGTAACATTTTGTGTTTCGAGGGGGAGAATCGCATCCCGAACATGCTTGCATTGTTGCTTAGAGTGGTCAGAAGACTCTGCATTTCGTCAGCGTCTTCACCAAACAGAACTGTGTCATCTGCATATTCCAAGTCAACAAGTGAATCTCCCGGTAGAAGTTCAACCCCAGGAAATTTAGATGAGGAAAGTGTCATCTGTAAAAGCACGTCAACGACGAAGTTAATCAAGAATGGAGAGAGTGGACAGCCCTGATGAACACCACTTGGGGTAATCAATTCTGATGACAGTTCGCCATAAGCTCTCACTCGACCAGTTGTGTTCGAGTAGAGAGCCTTTACAAGGTTAATGTACTTCTTTGGTACTCCTTTCCGTGACAAACACTGCCATAGAACCTCACGATCAACAGAGTCGAATGCTGCCTTAAGGTCAAGAAATACTACGATTGTTGGGCGTCTGAATAATTGTCTGTGTTCTAGAACCTGACGTAGTGTGAATATCTGGTCTATAAAGCCACGTCCAGGTCGAAAACCAGCCTGATTTTCTCTAGTCTGTTCGTCACGAGCATTGGTTAGGCGTTGAAGTATTATTGAAGCTAATATTTTATACACTATATTAGTCAAACTGATTCCTCTGTGATTGTCACAAGAGGACTTTTGTCCTTTCTTATAAACTGGCACAATCAGTGATTGAGACCAGTCAGATGGGATTACATCCAGTTCCCGAATTCTACCTAAGACCTCAGTCAGTCTCACTGCTAATACTGTAACGCCATCCTTAAAAATCTCAGGAGTAAACCTGTCAGGGCCTGCTGCTCTCCCTCGTTTCAGATTTCCTATAGCTTTTTCAACTTCATAAAGAGACGGAGGACCTACATTAACTTGCCATTCAGGTTGACTGGAGATCGTAGGAAACCGAAGTGTGGCTGAAGGCCAGTTGAACTGATCCCTAAAGTGTTCTGCCCATCGATCCAATCTCCTGGATTGAGAATGAACAATATGTCCATCTTTCTCTGAGATTGTTTCGCTAACAGTCGGGTTCCTAATTCCGGTTTCCTTAACGAGTCTGAACAATTGTCTGCTATTACCTATTGCCGTTGCCTTTTCCATCTCTCTTGCTTTCGCTACCCACCACTGTTCACGATCATTGCGTAGACTTCTTGTCAGTTTGCGCTTAAGCTGACTCCGCTCTTCACTATGTTCAGAGCCAGGTGGAATGAGTTTCCGAGCATCTATCAGTGCAATAGATGCTGCTGAGATCCAGTGTTGCTCCCTAACCTTGTGGTTTACTGTACTAGCAGATATCACTGCTGTTTCCACAGTTTTTCGAATATCATTCCACGTACCCGGATAGCCTCATCAACGAACGAAAATGATCCGATGTAGACGTAAAGTTAAGGATTGGTAAAGCAAGGCAGCATTCCTACAGTTGAAGATCATATGGAACTCTGAACAACTGCCAATCAATATCAAAGACAGAATCTTCAATACGAACGTCGAAAGTCTTACTGTACGGAGCCAAAACATGGAGAACTACCACAACTATCGTCGAAAATGTACAAGTACTCATGAATAATTGTCCACGGAAGATTCGTTGGCCAAATACCATCAGTAACAGCTTTCTGTGGTAGAGGACGAATCAGTCTTCTTTTGAAGAGGAAATTAGGAAAAGACACTTGGAGTGGACAGTGTTATAACTTGTGCCCTCTGTCGTATTAATGAATAACGTAATCAAACCGCCAATCAGAGAACAGGGAATTATCGATCGGACCAATGACGCATAAAACCCGCACGAGCAGTCTAGAGTCCTTATCGGTCCCGCTTCCCGCCTAGCCCAATCTATTAAGTCAAAAACACCAATCTCAGCCTCTGCAATATGAATCATGTATTTCAAACATATTGGGTTTATATACCAAACAAACAGACCACATCGTACCAATAAAATAGGAAACAACATTTTTACAAGATTTGGCCAAATGTGGCTGTGAATAAGGGAGATAGTAATTAATAGACAGGGAATAATTCAAGAATGGGAAATCGTAAAATAATAGTTCATAAGTCAAAATAAAGCTTATGATAAGAGAGACATCAATATGAATAGTTTGGTTAATGAACAATTATACGATAAAAATATACGTTTAGTATTGGTCCACAAATGGATCCCAATTCACCATTCATTGTTCTTATCGGGATACAACAAATAGGACATGCATTCCGGAAACCATCAAACTGCATCACAAAGCAAACGCTAACATGTCATCCTGAGGGGAAACGGAAAACAGGAAGACCAAATACCACACTAAGTCGGGAATCGGAAGCAGATATGAGAAGGATGAATAGCAACCGGAAAGGCCTGATCAGAACAGAGTTGTATGGGAAATCCCGATGGATGGCTTATACTCCTGCACGAAAGGTAACAAGCCTAAGTAGGCATTTCATTCGATGAAGATCCGATAGTTTCCCAACCGATTTATTATATACACCGACTGGCCTGTTTAATCGACGGTCTCAAATTACTCAAGCGATGCTTCGAAGGCAAAATTAGAAACTACCTATGACTATTTTTTATTAATGAAAGCCATGTTTCATAGCTATGTACGAATCAGATCGAAGCAGCATACTTATGCTTTACCCGAGTTCATGACTGTATGTCCATAAGACTGAAAATTCAGGCGACTCTTAAATATAGATGTATGTGTAGTAGGTACTATCTGACTAGTATACACTGACCAAATGGAAAGTTAGTGTTATTAATTATCAAAAGATTGAAAGGAAAGCTCTCCAATTATTTTGTCGATAGTATTTTATTTGACTTAAATGCAAGATAAATAACAACCAGCTTCTTTCCAATAACTAAGTGCCCACGTATTGTAGCCTTTTGCATTTCCTATGCTATAAAAAAGGTTGGAGTACCTATCCTGTCATAACTTAAAATAAATGATGTCTAATTCTTGTCCATGTTTACTCTCCGAGCTTAGTAATACTGACCTGTTGAAAGACATTTTATTACTGAATAATTTCAAATAACACCAAACCATTTTATTTCAGCTGTATATAATGATAATATCCTAAATGAAACGACTCATCAGATCCATTGGCTTACATTCCTACTAGTTTTCCAAAATTCATACTTATTAAATCGATATTTTTTGTAGTTCACGCGACACATAATATGTGTTGTTTCGTGTTATGCCGAAAATTCGGTAAACATTTCCACAAATCATACGTTAACATATAATTAAATAGTTACAACTAAATAAATAACTAAACTATTTGCACGAACTTTGTGAACAAACTAATTTACTACACCGATTGAATGTCGTAACAATTTCTTAGAAACTTCTCAGTGGGATGGGAACTCATCTGAATTTAGTGACTATTTTTACACACTAATTTTCTGTCAAACCATTCATCAGGTTATTGACGAATATTCGTACTAGTAGTTCGTTTATCAATGTTTAAATCCCTACCTGCGACCAGTGAAAATGTCAGGAACGTTAAAAATTCTGTATCTACCCCAATTTATGTTACATGTGAATCTAAGTATCTATGTAAACAGAGGGAGGATGCCCCATCTTATTTATAACTTATTCCCGACCGAAGCTGCTACCTTGACGTGGTGGTCGGGCTTGCCTATCGTGATGACCCATCCGAGCTATATTGGCTGGAACATATGTTCCTGTAGGTTCTACCATGCCAGGCAGGTCGATTGGTGAACGGTAAGACTAAAAGCAGCAACTCAAAATCTGAGGGCGAAGTCGTACTGCTGACTGTACAGAGGTGTGACAGCAGTAAGGTGTTTCCTTCGGACAATCAGCATGACAGCGATGCTGCCTTCCCACAAGGAGGGGTGGGGTTAGAAAAGGTCGACCCTAAAAATGTCACACCTCACCTTACCTCACGGATTTCCGTCTCCGGCGGTAAGGCCATCTGAAGAACGGAGCTAACACGTCAAAAACCTTCTACAAAAAGGCCGTGCGCGACCGGCCTCAAGCAGTTGTCCCTTGGGCTCTGCGGTCACGCTCCCAGGTCGTTAAGACCAACACTAATCCAATTTCCTTTTCAGGTTCCTCAAGAAATACCCTTCCACGGTGTGGGCAGCCGGGAAGTGACATCAGCCCTCATACCCGTAACAGCACGCAAGACCAAGTTGGTCACATTCAAATCCTTCCTACACCTTCTAATACCTCTCTTATCTCCATGACTAACCCTCCTCATGTCTCTATATCACCTCGCACCGCTAATGCAAACGATTCGAGTACGTGGAACTCTATTCCTGGTCTCCTCAAACCACGCTCTAAACTACACGTAGGAGCTTTTAACGTCCGAACACTGTGCCAAATAGGACAGCAGGCTTCCTTAGCTAGGACTTTAGAATCTCGCGCCATCGATGTGTGTTGCGTCTCCGAAACGCGCATACAGGATCCAAGTAGCATCATTCATTTGACCTCACCATGCCAAAATAAAGAACCGACTCGATTTACGCTTCGTGTATCTGGAAGCCCTGATTCTGCTTCCCGTGGCCTCGCCGGCGTAGGTATAGCATTGAGTCCTAGGGCAGAACTAGCTCTTTTAGAGTGGATCCCAGTAGACAGTCGTTTGTGCGCTGTCCGACTGAATGGAACAGTAAGAATCCGGAAAGATAGGGACACCCGTCGTTGCCTCTTCGTCGTCTCTGCCTATTCTCCCACTGACTGCAGCTCAGATGATGTAAAAGATGAGTTTTACAGAAAGCTTTCGGACCTTCTCCGAAAAGCTAAGCGCTCGGATGTAGTAATAGTGGCCGGTGACTTTAATGCTCAAGTAGGTAAACTAAGTGATAGGGAAAGACACCTGGGTGGATCTTATAGTATCGTGGCTCAAAGAACAGATAATGGCGACCGTCTGTTGCAGCTATGCTCAGATAATCGCCTGTTCCTTGCAAATACTAACTTTAAGCATAAGGAAAAACATCTTTTAACATGGCGACCCCCTAATACGTCCCAACGTTGGACCCGAATAGATCACATCGCTATCAGCCACCGATGCAGGGGCTCGATAGAAGACTGTCGCTCATTCTGGAGCATATGCCTAGATTCAGATCATGCTCTAGTACGAGCGCGTATTTGCTTGCGTCTTACTGGACGTAGGAAAACCGCTGAAAGGAAACCTCTTAGGGGCCTACTTAATGATAGTCAAGCTAAGAGTATATTTCAGGAACAACTAGGAAAACAGTTAGGCAGCCATGTATGTGATGCCCACCCCGAGGCAGCATGGAATGATATCCGAAAAACTGTGGAAACAGAAGTGATATCTGCTAGTACAGTAAATCAGAAGGTTAGGGAGCAACACTGGATCTCAGCAGCATCTATTGCACTGATAGATGCTCGGAAACTCATTCCACCTGGCTCTGAACATAGTGAAGAGCGGAGTCAGCTTAAGCGCAAACTGACAAGAAGTCTACGCAATGATCGTGAACAGTGGTGGGTAGCGAAAGCAAGAGAGATGGAAAAGGCAACGGCAATAGGTAATAGCAGACAATTGTTCAGACTCGTTAAGGAAACCGGAATTAGGAACCCGACTGTTAGCGAAACAATCTCAGAGAAAGATGGACATATTGTTCATTCTCAATCCAGGAGATTGGATCGATGGGCAGAACACTTTAGGGATCAGTTCAACTGGCCTTCAGCCACACTTCGGTTTCCTACGATCTCCAGTCAACCTGAATGGCAAGTTAATGTAGGTCCTCCGTCTCTTTATGAAGTTGAAAAAGCTATAGGAAATCTGAAACGAGGGAGAGCAGCAGGCCCTGACAGGTTTACTCCTGAGATTTTTAAGGATGGCGTTACAGTATTGGCAGTGAGACTGACTGAGGTCTTAGGTAGAATTCGGGAACTGGATGTAATCCCATCTGACTGGTCTCAATCACTGATTGTGCCAGTTTATAAGAAAGGACAAAAGTCCTCTTGTGACAATCACAGAGGAATCAGTTTGACTAATATAGTGTCTAAAATATTAGCTTCAATAATACTTCGACGCCTAATCAAAGCTCGTGAAGAGCAGACTAGAGAAAATCAGGCTGGTTTTCGACCTGGACGTGGTTGTATAGATCAGATATTCACACTACGTCAGGTTCTAGAACACAGACACACATTCAGACGCCCCACAATGGTAGTATTTCTCGATCTTAAGGCGGCATTCGACTCTGTTGACCGTGAGGTTCTATGGCAGTGTTTGTCACTGAAAGGAGTACCAAAGAAGTATATTAACCTTATAAAGGCTCTCTACTCGAACACAACTGGTAGAGTGAGAGCTTATGGCGAACTGTCATCAGAATTGATTACCTCAAGTGGTGTTCGTCAGGGCTGTCCACTCTCCCCATTCTTGTTCAACTTTGTGGTCGACGTACTTTTATAGATAACACTCTCCTCATCTAAATTTCCTGGGGTTGAACTTCTACCGGGAGATTCACTTGTTGACTTAGAATATGCAGATGACATAGTTTTATTTGGTGAAGACGCTGACAAAATGCAGAGTCTTCTGACCACTCTAAGCAACAATGCAAGCATGTTCGGGATGCGATTCTCCCCCTCGAAACACAAAATGTTACTTCAGGATTGGGTTACATCGACACCCGAATTAATGATAGGGAGTGAAGTAGTTGAGTGTGTCGACCGCTTCACTTATCTTGGAAGTCTCATCAGCCCTTGTGGTCTGGTGTGTGACGAAATCTCAGCACGGATACAGAAGGCTCGACTAGCTTACGCTAAATTACTTCATTTATGGCGTAGGTGAGATATCCGTCTACCAACCAATGGACGTGTTTGCTGCGCAGCAGTTCATTCCGTCCTCCGGCGGCAAGGTTTCAACAATTACGGAACTGACACGAAAATTACCCACAAAAAGGTCGTGTGTGACCGACCTCAAGCAGTTGTCCCTTGGGCACTGCGGTCACGCTCCCAGGTCACTATGATCACCTCTAATCCAATTTCCTTTTCAGGTACCTCTACAACAACCCTTCCACGGTGTGGGCAACCGGGAAGTGACAACCACCCTCATACCTCTAACAGCACTCAAGACCACTGTATTCATAATCAACCTCCGTCTGCACTTCCTATTATTCCCCCTACATCGACTTTCACCTCTAAACTTCCTCTTTCGGTTTCCCCCTCAAGTGTCACCATAACCAACGATTCTAGTGCACAAAACACTGTCCCAAGTCTACTGAAACCTCGCTCCAAACTACACATTGGAGCCGTCAACGTACGCACTCTATGTCAAATCGATGAGCAGGCTTCCTTGGCTAGAACCATACAATCTCGTACCATTGATGTATGCCGTGTCTCCGAAACACGCATACAGGATCCCAGTGTGGTTATTCACCTGACCTCACCTCGGCAAAACGGAGAGCCAACGATATACACCCTCCGTGTATCTGGTGACCCGACGGCCAGCTTTCGTGGACTGGCAGGAGTAGGGATAGCACTAAGCATGAGGGCGGAGCAAGCACTATTAGAGTGGATCCCCGTTAACAGTCGTTTATGCGCTGTTCGGCTAAATGGTTCCGTAAGAACTCGGAAGGATAGGGACACACATCGTTGCCTTTTCTTCGTTTCTGCCTACGCTCCCACCGACTGCAGCTCAGACGAAATGAAAGATGGATTTTACAGAAAGCTAAACGTTCAGACACAGTAATCGTAGCAGGTGGCTTTAATGCCCAGATAGGTAGTTTAAACCAAACAGAAAGATATTTAGGTGGGTATTTTAGTATTCCGGCACAGCGAACAGATAATCGTGATCGTCTGCTGCAGCTGTGCTCAGACAATCGTTTATTTTTAGCAAACACAGATTTCAAGCATGACAGACATCGTCTAACATGGCGACCCCCTGCACCAAGCCAACGATGGACTCAAATAGACCATATTGCCATCAGTCATCGTTGGAGAGCGTCGATAGAAGGTTGTCGTTCATTCTGGAGTACTTGCTTGGACTCCGACCATGCCCTAATACGGGCACGCATCTGCTTGCATTTCGCTGGACGCAAAAAAGCCGCACAAAAAGGACCCATTAGAACTGAATTGAGTAACGAGAAAACCAAAAGTAGGTTCCAGGAACAACTGAGGTCACACTTAAGGTAGTTGTCAAAACGAGGCTGACCCAGATGTTGATTGGAAAGCTTTACAAACAGCTGTGGAAACAGCAGTGACATCTATCAGTGATTTAAACCACAAGATTACAAAGAACCAATGGATTTCCTCGAGGTCTATTGCACTGATGGATTCTCGTACACTCATCCCATCAGGCTCTGAACATGATGAAGAGCGAAAACATATCAGATCTAGGTTAAGCATAAGTCTCAAGAACGACCGTGAGCAGTAGTGGGTAACGAAACTAAAAGAGATGGAAAAGGCGGCGACTATAGGGAACACGAGACAGCTTTGCAGACTAATAAAAGAAACTGGAATTAATAAGTCAAGTGTAAATCAGACTATTTCGGAAAAAGACGACAACCTCATCTGCTCTCAGTCCAGACGTTTAGAACGATGAGCGGAACATTTCAGAGAACAGTTCAACTGGCCTTCAGCGATTTTACAAATACCCTTCATTCCCAGACAGTGTGAATGGAACATTGAAGTAGGTCCCCCAACTCTAGCAGAAGTTTAAAAGGCTATAATTAATCTGAAACGAGGACGGGCAGCTGGTTCAGATGGATTGGCTCCAGAGGTTTTTAAGAATGGTGGTCCAATTTTAGCGATTAGGTTGACTAATACTTTAGCTAAGATCTGGGAGTTGGACGCTATTCCATCTGACTGGTCACAATCACTTATTGCCCCAATATATAAGAAAGGGTCAAAATCATCCTGTGACAACCATAGAGGGATTAGTATAACTAATATTGTATCCAAAATACTAGCCTCGATAATTATCAAACGCCTAACTAAGACTCGTGAACTGCAAACACGAGAGAACCAAGCTGACTTTAGACCTGGTCGTGGCTGCATCGACCACATATTCACCATTCGTCAGGTTCTAGAACACAGGCATAATTATCGACGTCCGACAATGGTGGTATTTCTTGACTTAAAAGCAGCATTTGACTCGGTAAAACGCGAGATTCTGTGGCAGTGTCTACCACTGAAAGGCGTACCTCAGAAGTACATAAACCTTGCGAAGGCTCTTTACTCGAACACTACCAGTCGAGTCAGTCAGTCAGATACAACGTAGGACCAGGCACATATATGCATCGGTTCAAGTTGCCATACCTCATTAACACAAGATGGACACCGGATTCATAAAAGTAGTTATGTCAGAGGTGGTAATATATAAAAGAAAGATTGCAATAAGGATATAGTACAGGAAGAAAGAATCAGTTCGTTGAAAGAAAGGTATGAAGCGATTTTAATTTTATTTTAAGGGAGGACAGAAAGTGTATATACCGACGGCATTATGATCGATTCTGAGCTTATGGCGAACTGTCGTCTGCCTTTGCAACCTCAAGTGGTGTCCGTCAAGGCTGTCCACTTCTCCAATTTTGTTTAACTTCATCATAGAGCTATTGATGAAAATAACATTCTCGTCTATTGGATTCTTTTGCATTGATCTCCTTCCAAGAGGTCCACTTATCGACTTAGAATACGCAGATGATATAGTCCTGTTTGGTGAAGACGCTGGTAAAATGCAGTCTTTTGGTAGCACTAAGCAACAACGCCAGAATGTTTTGAATGCGCTTCTCTCCATCTAAATGCAAGCTGTTGCTTCAGTGAAGTAGTCGAACGCATTGACAACTTCACTTATCTTGGAAGTCTGATCAGCCCTAATGGGTTGATGTCTGACGAAATCTCAGCAAGGATTCGAAGAACTCGCTTGGCTTTTGCCAAATTACGTCACGTATGGCGAAATATCCGTCTATTAATAAAACGACGAGTATACTGCGCGTCAGTCCGTTCTGTTTTAATTTACGGCAGCGAAACATGGCCTTTAAGAGTAGAGGGCACTCGTAAGCTAATAGTATTTGACCACAGATGCCTTAGAAATATTGCTGGGATCACCGGGTAAGTAATAGTAAAGTTAGACGTAGGGTATTAGGGAATGATGGTAAATCAGTTGATGAGGCTGTTAATCTTCATCAACTGAGATGTTTGGGCCACGTGTTACGTATACCCGAACACCGATTACCACGACGTGCAATGCTAACCGGTGTTCGGGATGGTTGGAAGAAAGTAAGGGGCGGCCAAACCAAAACGTGGCATCAGTGCTTGAAGTCACTAATTTTTAGTCTGAGCCATGTTGATAGATACAGATTACTTGGTTGGGGTCCGCGTGACTATCGTAACCAATGGTTGTAGACTCTGGGTGACATGACTCAGAACCGATCACAATGGCGTCTTCCCTTAAACTAAGATTAAAATCGCTTCATATCTTTCTTTCAATGAACTGATTCTTTCTTCCTGTTGAATATGGCACAGGTATTCAGTGTCTGACAACGCTTTACCAGCAACACTTTCTAATATAATTTGTACCCACCGAGAGAAATCAAAAGACAGAGTCGAGGAGATCGGAAGAATGTATTTGGCGACAACCAATATATCGGAATTCTCTGATCTAATCTGGCTATCGATTGCGGTAGATGTTGAGCACACCGTTACCACACGTGATCTGGTGCGGATGCATGACCAAGCGCCGTCAGCATCCAATATCGAAAACTTAGAGCTATTTAGTTTGAGGATTTATTTACCGCTACACTGTACTATATCCTTATTGCAATCTTTCTTTTATATATTACCACCTCTGACTACTTTTATGAATCCAGTGTCCATCTTGTTGTGTTAATGAGGTATGGCAACTTGGACCGATGCATATATGTGCCTGGTCCTACGTTGTAGCTGACTGACTGTATGACCTTGTGACGAAGTACCTCGCACTAATTCCCATTAAATAAAAGTACGCAGGCAAAACACCTAAAAATATCGTGGTGAAACTGATCAAACATGTGGATCGTTTTTGATGTCGTGACTCCAAGAAATGAACATTTCCTTTACCGAGAGGTCACTGTCGAGAAAAATGATTGAATCGGTTGTGTAAATTTAACTTCTTATTAACCATGGAAACTTCTCAATGCTGATGGTTAATGATATATCGACGGTGGTATCCTACGTTAAAATATAATTGATCTATCCGCTGGAATCATTATTACTATTAATATTACCACTATCATGTTGATATTTGATACTGCGCCTGTGTGGTTGCAACTAGAGCGGATAAACGTATATATCAGGTTCTATCTTTTTTATTGTCACAGTTCATTTTATGGGAAACGAAGATATCCCTGGTGTGTTACAAGTCGAACATATTTGTGTATAAAGAAATCACATTGAAATTCCAAATAGTGCATATATACGTTTGAACCGTATCTGGCACATGTTTAGCCATTGACAATGTCGAATTTTTAAGGTCGCTAACACAGAAATAGGAATAACATTGTCATAAACGAGATATATTAGTGATCAGCGGAACATCAATCATAATCCTAGTGAAAACATGAGATGGTTTATGTGATTTCTCAGGAGTCTTACGAGAGGAAACTGGACATCACCAAGGTCTTAGAACAGTACTTCAACGCTATTTACCAACAGCACTTTTACGTTTGTTAAATATGCCCAGGTTCATACATCTAAGCATCGGCAATTCATGGATACGGAAGTTCATTCACCGAAAGTCATTATTTTGTTTACAACCATTAGACGTTGCTTAGGCGATCAAGACAATGATCTTACAACCAACTCACTTTACGTTACTATGAGCGATTGACTTGATAATGTATATACTCACTGAGAAAAGTAATAATTCAGAAACATATCACATTGTATTTGTAAATTACAAGGTGTTCATGAGTTCCAAGATTCTGAAGACGAAGTGCCTCACTAAATTCATGATTAAGAAAAGGAAGCCAACTTACATATTTTTCCTGAATCAATCCATCCTTGAAGAAAACGAAGTATGGTGTCATACCGTCCTCACGGAAGTTCATCAAAACTACCATGGCTTCAGGATTAGTTGATGGCCCCGTGAAACATTCATATTGGTCAAAGTTTGCAAATACATTTTTCATGTACTTGTTGACCTGACTTTCAAGTAAGGGTATCTTGTCTGGATCAGTCTTTTGCAAACGTTGTGTTATAGCTTTTAAATACGACTAGAACAATATCAATTTAACTAGATAACTTACTTTAAGTTGAGCTTTGTATGATTTTAAGTCGTAGGGAACACTAATGAAACCATTAGCGTGAACTAAATCAATGACTCTTTTACTCGTATCATCCAAATTTTCATCGTCTTCACCCTCACCAGAAGGGTTGGCGCCAATAAGTCTCCCATCCACCTTACTTGAAGCTGTCGTAAACCTCGATTCTACTTCATAAAAGAAATCCGCGACAACACGAGGACAGTGCGAGTCTGTGAACATTTCATCCTCTGAAGAGAATATAATAGATATTTGATCATACCAGTAATCATGTCCTTAAACACAATCATGGTGGGAAACAAACAAGGCGCACTGAGTTGTAACGCTGATGATGTGAAACAAGTTTAATGTACGACGTTACGACTCATTCAATTTTCGATGGTGCCGAATTTTTGTTTTTTGTCCAGCAGCGATAAAAACAGAATTTTACATTTCCTTGACGTTCGATGCAAATAAGTGTTTTTAAATATCGAAAACTTTAAGCTGTAGTTTTGATTCACGAGTGGCGATAAATAAATCTCCCAAATCAATGGCTCTATAAGTCTTTGGTGTATAGCGACTCACGTGCAAATGGGTTTATTCTCATTTGACTCAGTTAAGCCCTTTTGCTAACTTATTTAGCGGACAAAGTCATCCGCACTATAACAATTTATTGTACCCTTATTATTATGTTGTGCTTGTATGAAATACGTATGCTTGAATATTGTTTACTGCCTACGCATTTATTCACTCTGCTAGTCTTACTACTAAGCGCTTATTCGATTCGATTACTCATTCATTTCACATGGTATATTATGTCCATGTTGTTCATACACACTCGCTCACTCACGCGCTCTCGTCACGCTCTTGCTCTCGCTATCGCTCGCTTGCTTGCCTTTCGGCACAACTCTTCTATGCTTGGTTAACGCATCTGTACATTTGGATATATGTGTGTGTTCTCGCAATAAACGTAATCAACACTTCGTATTTGCCTTCTGATTATTGTACCGTTGGGGCGTTATACAGAACGGTTAGCAAGACGAATTGTATACGAAGTTAAGGATTATATCGAATACCGACGACCACAGGTGCTTAGCATAAGTAATTTTACTGTAATAGATTAGCTGAAGCGATCTGTCCAGCATCCACACCAGATCACGAGTGGGTACATCGTGCTACGCATCCCTTTCAACTACCAGCTGGTTTAAGTCAAATGTTCGTTCGACATACGGGTTGCCTTCCAAATATATCATCGAACTCCTTCAATCCTGACTTCTGATCTGATCGAGTTAGCATACTTCAGTTGTAAAAGTGCTACTGGTTCAGGCCTTTTTTATCTACGAATACTCTTGGCATTGTTAAGGAACCTATGAAATGCCTAAACGCTTATATTCTTATATAAACCATGGGACTAAAAGAAGAAATAGCCTAGCACTATGGGGAGACAGTAATACTTCATTATGAGTGGAGGACGATTGTGGCAAGGCTCAGGTATTCTCAAACTATTTTAGCAACGTATACGTCGTAGAAACACCCTTTCTATCAGTTCATATAATTACCCACCACATACACACTGGACAATGTAACCATAAAAGATGTCTTTGGTCTGTCTTGGTCTGGTTACTTAGTGATAACTTTGCACATAGGCTATCTTGTCTCCTTTACTATCCAAACTGAAACTGATCTGTACACTCTGACTAAAAAGGAATGGAATTTTTCACGTTTCGACAAAACTGGCTTCTGTTGCGTCAATGGAATATGTGGCTAAAACCTAATGCTTTTGGCTGAAGCTAGATGAAAAACTATCATTCCACACTTTTTAAAATTTGACTTCAATCTGTTGAAGTTTTATGTTCAGTACACTCCTATTTTTTAGAGCTACGCACGAAAAGCCGTTATCGTCACTCACGATTTTAACTGATTTTTTGGAAATTTCCAAAGTACTTTTGCTATTCATTTGGTTAAAATGGCTGAAAAAAGTCATTGGTATGGTGGCATTTTGTGTATGCTATCATTCGAATATTGTCTGGAATGTGACAGCTGGCGAAGCTGGCCACACAAATGTGAATCATGCCACCACCAATTGTGTACAAGCTTTTCTGCAAGCCAGCTTCTCCTCGGTTATGCAGTGAATCCTGCCATAAAATTCTATGCTCCTAGGTCAAACATTTTAACTTCTCATTCCGTTATAGATACCGGAAAACGACGAAAGAACATACTCAGTGAATCTGACACCAGATAATGATGATACAGTGCCATAACTAAGATAACTGGTTCAACAGTTACCCTGATTTGAGAGGTCGTGACTGCTATTTCCGTTACTGTTGGCTAGGAAATATTACCAGTTTAGACCATAGTTTTTATTATTAACAAAAAGTCTTTATCTACTGATAAGACAAACGACCGTTCCCCGAAAATGTGTCTTATGTAAGCACTGTCATGTGGTTGAATGTGAACATACGGTATTGGGAGAGCATAACGCCTACAATCGATAAAGTGGTTAATATAAAAAAATGGACGGATCTGAAGTTAGAGGTTCCAAGACGAAAGAGAAAAGATATGGTTTTGGTTCTGAAAATCAGTTAGGACAAATTCGATTATGATTTCAGGGTTTGTTTTAAATAGAAATTGTTGTAGAAGTAAGGGATTTGACCACGTTCGGTCCCACCCGCCCACCAACCAGTATTCCTTTACAAAGAAACTAGGGAATTCAGTGCGCCGTTACCAGAAGCACCATGGCGTAAATGCTCTTCAGAATACACCTAATTTTTAGACAGTAATCATTCGCCTCAACGTATATATTCTTTGGCTATGGAGAATAAATCATAAAGTAACGAAAATCTAGGCTTATCAATACTTCGGCTTTTCAGAACCCAAATATAATCCGTTCCCCTTGAAATAATCAAAATCTTCATAGTTAACGAGGGAGCATGGAGTTCGAATTTCGCAACGTTTTGAGTGCTTATTTTTTTTTCTCATTGGATTTTTACTCAGAGTTATTATTTATCAGCGAAAAATACCATATTTTGATATAGGTTTCATTAATTTGATAATTCATCTTGACGCTCAATTTCATGCACTTATTCCGTTAGATTTCAAGAAGTATGTCAAGTCTTCTGAAGATTATAGAAGACCCATGACTTTCCGAAAAACGATACGAGGAACTACTGCGCGAGGGCGCGTTAACGACAGCCATAGCCGATGAACATGACCGTTTATTATACGTCACGGATTTGATTGCGGATATTTGCCACCTCGATCACACATGCGCAGACGTTATTGTTTCTCTTGCAAATCCTGACGAGTGACTAAATGATGCAGTTTTCAACTTGCAGGCTGAAAATGCGAAACCAGTCAACACATACGGTAAGAGGTATGTGTATCTCAACATGGGCTAATACAAACCCATCTACTGGATTTTCGTTGTTGCAGATGTTTCTATACCAATCATCTGTAAAGACGTACTACAACTTCAAAATCTACTAATCGACACGTGCAAACGGAGGTTAATAGACAGAAATACTAATTTAATTGTTTGTGTGACATCATTTTTTGTTGCATATCATTTTTAACCACTGTTAAGCGCGTAATCAACCTACACTACCAACCGTTACACGAAAAGTACTCTGACCTGTATCAAACGCAATCGAAATTGCCAAGAATAACCACCAATTCTGCACACCACATCACAACTATAGGATCACCTGTATTCTCAGTAGCGAGCTGACCAGCTCCCAAAAGGCTAGGGTCGGCCAAAAATGAGCTCAGCTATGTGATAGGCCAAGGAATCATCCGCCCGTCGAACAACCCACAGGCATCTCTCTTGCACATGGTCCCTTAAAAGAATGGCAATGATTGGCTTTCAAATTGTGATGCTCGGCGACTGAATACGAAAACCACTCTCGGTAGTTACTCCTGACCATTAATCCACAATATGATAAATACTTTAAAAGATATGTGTTTTCTACGAAATCGATTTGGTTAAAACATACAACCAGATTCCCTTGGCTTCAAACGACATTCCTCGAACGACTGTCACCAGTCCCCTCGGACTATATGAGTCTGTAACAGCATAGGTTGGTTGGTTAAGAGTTGACCCCAAACAACCAAGCATATGCCAAAACAGTATTGTTTAAGTATTCATTCACTTCCTTATTTTGTATAAGCGTTATATTCCTTATTATCTTATATTGAATGCTGAAAGCCTTTGTTTGTCTGAACAGATAGTCCCACGCTCCACTGTGGCTGCGCTAAGATCGAAATAAAGAAATATTCACTTTTTGCCAGGCTTCTTCTATCAATAACACGAGGGTTATCTATAGGCACGAAATTGGTGAGCCCTTTTTGAACACAAATTAACCTCATTTTTGTTATTAATATTATTTTTTTTACTCAATCGTAAAAGTAGACCTGATAATCCGTAAACTAAGTTGGGTATATAAATAGTTTATTCTTTTTATTATCTTAAGTTATTCGTGTCATAGAAACCATTTTTCTTTTTTTTCGTGCTAATTTTATTGCTATATTTGTCACGTACCTCATGTCAGACTTAAAAGAAACCCATAATCTGGAGGATTTGTCACCAGTGGAGATAGACACTGTTATGACTACGAAATCCCGACTTCCAGAATTTGATCGTAGTGATCCTGAGTTGTGGTTTGCTCAACTCGAGCATTATTTCACGAGACACAATATCAAATCTGAAGGGATTCGCTATAGAGATTTGTGTTCTATCCTTCCTCCTTCAGTCGCCAAAGAAGTCCGTGACTTGATTTTAGATCCACCATCACCACAACCGTACACCGTCTTAAGACGAGAGATAATGAACCGTTTATCATTATCAGATAGTCAAAGAATCCAAAGACTTTTTCAAGGTGAAACACTAGGTGATCGGTCGCCGTCACAGTTTCTACGTCACCTCCAAGTCTTAGTGGGTGATAACACAGTGGGTGAAGCAGTCCTAAAACAAGGATGGATACAAGCTCTCCCATACTACGTCCAACACTGTTTGGATGCACAAGATCCTGAAACCTCATTATCTCATTTAGCGCGTATAGCTGATAGAATAATGGAAAGAGGTCTTCCAACTGGATCAGGCACAATAAATCACACACAAAAAGTAGAATCAGCAAAAGACCCCGTCATAGAAGGACTCATTGCGAGTGTTAAGAGTCTCACTGAGGCTGTCACCAGAATGCAAATGGGTCATACAAACAGGAGCAGGTCACCACAACGATCACGATCCAAGTCACAAAATAGGTCACAAATGTCCAGACAATCTGGGCAGTTTTGTTGGTACCACTGGAAGTTTGGTGTCAACTCAACCAAGTGCAGGCAACCATGCGCCTGGCCTAATCATAATTCCAAGAGAGCGGGAAACGAGTAACCCCTCCCCAGGTCGCGACA